AAAAAAAAAAAACTGCAAACTGGTCAAGCTCAGTCCACTTTACCTTTTATTCGATCTGATTCCCTAAAACCCAGAGAGAGATCTTCATTCTTCAAATTCCTTTACTCAACAGTTCCCCTGATAAAAACATCCTCAGAAGCTCCAAACTCTCACCAATGGCGATCATCACAGAAGAAGAAGAAGGCCAACAGGAGGAACCCAAACACCCACAGAACAAACCAACCAAACCCCAAACCCCAGAAACCCAAAAACCCAGTTCTTCTTCTGCAACCACAACAAGCACAAATCCCTTCGCTTTCTGGTTCTACTTCACTCTCACAGTCTCTCTCATCACACTTCTCTTCGTCTCCTTCAATTCTCTCTCCTCACAAGACCCCAAATCTTGGTTCCTCAGCTTACCCACCAGCCTCCGGCAACACTACTCGAAGGGTCGGACCATAAAGGTACAAACACGCCCAGATCAATCCCCTATTGAAGTTTTTACATTCGATCATGGTCCGGCAATGTCTGAAAATGTTGTTTTTGTTCATGGTTTGGGTCTTAGTTCGTACTCTTTTCGCGAAATTGTTCGATCTTTAGGCGCCAAAGGGGTTCTCGCCGTTGCGATTGATTTGCCCGGAAACGGGTTTTCGGATAAATCCGTGATGGAGATTGGAAGGAGATCAAATGGGGTTTTAGGGAGGTTTTGGGACGTGTACAGTGAAATCCAAGCAAATGGTCTGTTTTGGGCTTTTGATCAGATGGTCGAAACTGGGCAGATTCCTTATGAGGAAATCGAAGCTCGGAAGTCGAAGAGAAAGGTTTCGAAACCGGCCGAGTTGGACTCGGAAGAGGTTGGTAAAGTATTGGGACAAGTCATTGAGACAATGGGTTTATCTCCTGTGCATTTGGTCTTGCACGATTCCGCATTAGGAATGAGCGCAAATTGGGTTTTGGAGAACACAAAATCTGTGAGGAGTGTCACACTTCTCGATCCTGCGCCAAGATCAGTGCCAGCATTGCATTTGTGGGCACTGGAAATGCCAGTGATTAGGGAATTTGTGTTGGGGTTTTCCTTTGTGTATGCTTGGTTGATTAAGAAATGCTGTTCGAGAGGGATCGGTTCCTCGGATTTGGAGGCTCATAGAGTTCTCTTGAAGAGTAGGGACGCGAGGAGAGCGCTTGTTGGGATGGGAAAGAAGTTGAACTACAGCTTTGATATTGCTGAATGGGGTGGCTCTGATGAGTTGAAAGGTGTCCCATTGCAAGTGATCTGGTCTAAAAGTTGGTCCAAAGAATGGAGCGAGGAAGGAGAGCGAGTCGCAGAAGCGCTTGCGCAGGCGAGTTTTGTTGCACATTCTGGTGGAAGATGGCCTCAGGTGAGAGTTCAATATCATTATGAAATATCAATATTGCTTGTTTCAAACTTACCATGTCTATGCCTTTATACAGATCTAAGTTTCTTGAAAGAATTTTCATGAATTAGTAGAATGATAAAAAATAGTTGAACAGTGTAACGTTTTTTTTTT